CACGAAACGACACAAGACAGCATCATCAGCACCCGCATTTAGGCAAACCGCATAGTAGAAAAAAGTGTGTGCACAATCACACCAGAGATCGGTGAGATACAGCAGAGAGAACGAGGACACTCCAACGGTCGCTGACCGATAATAAACCATGACCATCCTGAGTAGGCAGACATGACAACTGTTACAAAATAAAAATGAAAATAAATAAAGGGGAGGAGAAAATGCCTAGAACAAAATGACATAAACATCGCCGACTTCTAGACGCTCACATGTACACACAATTCGAAATATTACTCACTTAAAGCTCTGAATACATATAAGAACAAGTAAGAAACAATAATAATCATAATAATAATAATTGTAATAGTAATAATGCTACGAAAAACAGTCAACTCGCCGACCAAACAACGAATAAATAACGCTCGTAGGTGTTCCACCTCACTAAATGACATAACCTAGTACTAAGTAATAGATAAATGATAGAAAGAGGTACGCAATTTGTAGTGATAGGCTGGGACAAGAAGCATCGGGCTTTAGCAGAACCTGAAGAAAAGAATGATAACGAGTGGATGCGATTCCAAAAAAGAAGTTTTTAAGGAATTATTGGACTATTCCTACTCCAGTCTTTCGAAATCAGGTCAGCTTTCCACCGACTTTTTTCTTATTGTAAGAGGATAGATTCGGTCGAAAATTCGGTCCCATGGATAGCTCGACCTCTCGAGCACGAATATTACACTCGCTCGGCCTGATACTGCCTGCCGCCCGCGCCGCCAGTGCCAGAATACCCCAAATCATCAAGTTCGCTCAAAACTTGTTTCCAGGGGTAGCTCGACCTCTTGACACTAACATCACATCTGTATAAGAATGCCAGTGTAGGGATGGAAGGGGGGGGGGGGAGGAGGGTATCTACTTGACTGCTCCCCTTCTCCGAGAGAGTGACCCATCCTCTGCTAAGGATGAGCCTGGCCTAAAGGGAACTACTTCTCCCAATCTGACTTAGCAGAGGACTAAAGATGTCAACGCGAACCACCCTACTGCGCGCATCTCCGGATCATTTTATTATTTTTGATAAGTTATCCACCGGTAATTTCCTCCCTATTTGAATCGTTTATGGGGTAAGTATCTTCCGTAATCTAGAATGAGTCTTTACAACACTGGTACATGAATGAAGAGCCAAATTTGAATAAAACATGGCATAGAGACAAATTTATGGCACACCATGTGTGCGACGCGGTCCAGCACGTGTTAACCCCGTTTCCATCGATTTCGGTGAGGAAAGTGGCAGCGCCGAGTTGGCGCCCGATGCCGCCAGCGCCAGAAAAGAATGCCATTCTCGTGATCGGGATCAATTAAACCCCGTTCACAAGTTTTCATCGACCTTGGTGAGAAAGATGAAGTCACCGATCAGCACCAAATAGTGCCAGCTCCAAAAACGGACGTCATATTCACGATCAGAGCTCCGAATTACCCCTATAGTCAAAGTTTCAGTAAAAAAATTCCGTAAATTGTTTTTGCGTAGGAATAGATTAGCAGTGCCGTTTTTGAATACATATTTTGAAACCGAAAACGTACTCAGTTCTGCCAGTTACCGAACCCACGAGCATTTTGATAAGCAGGTTGCTGCTGGAATGAAGGAGCTCCTGGAGGAGCGAATCCGTTCGAAGGCTGAAATCCACCACGAGGCATCATGGGGGCACCGAAGTTCGGTTGACCATATCCCACTGGTGGAACTCCATTGAATGGAGGCATTCCACCTATAATACATCTATCATTTAGAAAAATCAAAATAGCTACACATATCAAGGGAAAATGTTGAAGGAGATTCGGAACTAACCACGAGGAAAAGCGGGAGGGAAGCGACTTTGTGGTGGACCAAAACCATTTTGTTGTGTGAAACCACGAGGCGGCTGAGCAAAGCCGTTCATTGTACCCATAGCAAATGGTGGGCCAAAGCCATTCTGCATTGTTGGTGGAACTCCTTGAGGACCACTGTAAAAAGAAAGTACTCGACGTGCATACGAATTCGGCAGAAAACTATTTTGGAAGGTGACCGGAACCTGAATCCACCTCGACCTCCTATGGGGCCGGGAGCGCCTCGCCGCTGATCTGTTCCACCGAATCGTCTATTGGTTTGACGATTATTTCCCGGTGTTCTTCCCTCGGCAGCCATACGAAGAAGGAAATCTGGTACTTCCTGATTTGACTCGCCGAGAAGCTGGGACAAATCACGAGCCAGCGCACGATTCTATAAGATGATATTGTTCACGAATTAGAAGATCGACAGCAATTATTCAAGGGCGCATTTTGTCGACGGAGGAGGGGGGGGGGCATTTTGCACTTCCGTTGCTTCACTAGTTCTGGTTTAAAACCTGTGAACACTTGTGGAGGACTCGAGAACAGGCTGTCTATATGGGTCGATATGTCGACGGGAAGTCGTTAAAGTGCAAAATGCCCCCCCCCCTCCCCCGTTGCCAAACAGCGCCTTATTCAAGTATTGCTAACCTTTTCAGTGAAAAAGCTGGTGGCTCGTCCTGTATTACCACATCGACCCGTTCTTCCAATACGATGAACATATTCATCTATGTCACCAGGGAGATCGTAATTGACTACGTGCCTTACATTTGGAATGTCAAGACCACGAGCAGCAACCTATGAAAAAAATGAAATATTTGAGAATGCAGTGTAATCGCCCTCGACGGGGATAACTCAATAATCAGAAAAGGGAAAACAATGTTCATACGCACTGCAGTTGCTACAAGAACTGGATTAGAACCGTTCCTGAAAAGCTCCAAATTGCGTTCTCTTTCGAACTGCTTCAGGTCTCCGTGAATGGCCACAGCACTGAAATATCACACAATAACGGAGTTTGGGAAGAAAAATCAGGGTAACAGTACTTTATTTGCTGACGCTGAAGTATGTTGGCCAAGTCATTCGCTCCTCGCTTTGTTTCGACAAATACCAAGACTAGTGAAGCATTTTCTAGAAAAAATCGTCTATGCAAAAACAAAAAACAGCATTGGACGCACGCAGCCAACAAAAGCAGGCCCTGCGGCGAAAAGAAAACTAGAAAAAGGAGAATGCGCTCCAAAACTGTTATGAATAAGAAAAAGGCTGACCAATCTCACCTTCTCTCGCTAAAATATTCATGAGCATCTTCCGCTTATCGAATTCTTCTACCAACAATATCTGCTGGTCGATATTTTCAGAAGTTGAACCAACCCGTCCAACAGCCAAGAACACATAATTTGGCTTGAGGAAATCTTGCGCAAGTGTCTGAAACGAAACGAAATGACCACTGTTCCCCACATTAATTCCGTGCACAAGGCAGCGTTCAGACTTCGCGATAACGCGCCTCGACGCGCTACAATTGCAAGAGCTCTCCAGTCCTGTAGACGCGAACGCAACTGCAGACGGGAACTGATCGGCTGCTATCGCTTGCACTTTGAGAATATGGAATGGACAGGAGTTTACGCGCTGCTTAAACATGCAGTATGGTGCCGATGGGAACTGACCGCTATGGCTTTGTGAGACTACAGAGGAATGGGAGAATCAAACTGTGTGGTGAGAAGACAGCACTTGCCCTTCTGTCATCCTATACTCTCTCAAATACAAGCGGCCGCTCCCATCGAAACCCGTCTGCGGCTGTGCTCGCTCTGTAGGAGTGGAGCCTTGTTGCAACTGTGGCATGTCATCGCAAAGTCTGCACGCTGCCTTTTGTACAGCAACGAGGACCGACCTGTATTTGCTTTGGGAATGTAGCGCTGAACATCGCTGTAATACGCTCTGATTTCGGGGGCATTCCTTGTCCGACAATTTTTCGAATCTGTGGCTCAAATCCCATATCCAACATACGATCAGCTTCATCCAGTACCAAATATCGACACCCAGCCAGTCCAATATAACCCTGAACTGAGGCAATAAGAATGGAGGATAGTCGATCAGGGTTAAAGGTGGGGAAGAAAGCAAATCTGAAAAAGGAAAAGATCATTATGCAACCATACCTGATCGAGGATATCAATAAGTCGTCCGGGAGTGGCAATCAAAATGTGACAACCACCACGCAAGCGATTGATTTGCTCACGGTAATTCTCACGACCACCATACAAAATTGCGGAAATGATATTGGTGCGATAGCTGAACTTCGCTGCCTCCTGCAATCACAAATTTTATGGTGAAATTCAAGCGCCAATCAAAACGTCGTCAAACCTTGTGTATCTGGATTGCCAATTCTCTTGTTGGTGCGAGAACAAGAGCCGCAGGATAGAATGTGCGGCGACCTGAGCTTGACATCATTGACTGGAAATAAAGAGAGATTAGAGTTGAGGCCTTAAATGATACAAGCTGAGTGGTATCATACCGGACGGATGGCTTCGGGGCCGTTAACCAAAATGTGGTGAATGATCGGCAATAGAAATGCAGCCGTCTTTCCTGATCCAGTTTGAGCACAAGACATGAGGTCACGATTGCCCAACAATGTGGGAAGTGAATATTTCTGCAAGGAGCATAAATAAACAATAAAAACAATTTCGTCGTACTCAATTGCCTTCTCACTGCGATCTAATTCACACGTGGAAGTCGAACAACGGAAACTTCAAGACACTACAGTTAACCGCTATAATATTTGAGAAGTGCAAAATAATCTCAAAAATATTTGCCTACAGCCAAAAAACGTCGCACTTCCATCGCGTGAAGAAATTTCTAGCACAAAAGAAATCAAAATACAATTTCGTCGTGAAAGATGACTGACTGTTAGTGAAACCGAAAAGTCACCTGAACTGGTGTAGGCTTCCTGTAGCCACTTTTGTCGACATTTTGTTGTATCCACTCATGCATGTTCGCGTCAGTGAACTGAAATAAAAAAGGATGACGAACAGAACATAATGGAAGGACCACCAGAAATGTGAACTTTCTAGTGAAGGCCGAAGTCTGACAAGAAGATGTTTTGAGGGATGTAATACATAAGCTCGTTCTAGAGACATATCTCCCATAGTATGTAAGATCACAACTCACGAACCACCGCCCTTCTTAGGCACTGGCCCGAATTCCCCGAGGAGTTGGAGTATGGTACTTACTTCTTCCCACGCGAGCGATGGTTCCCACTCCGCACTATTAGGCAGACCCAGGTGGGGGGCTGATTCAATCTCTTATCAAACTAGCCGCACGGACAGATGTACTTCAGGCCGCTGAAGAAAGCGCAAGGCTTCGAAACATTCGAAAACAAACTAGTGGCTTTTCTTCTGAGTTCCTTGAACAATAAAGGTTTTGAGACCCTGTATGTGATATTTACAGAATAGATTAAAGGCAGCGTCCGCGATCAACCAAGGTGAAAAAACCCTGTACTGTACAAGATCGCGGAGTCCGCAACCACAGAGGATATCCCACTCCTGCGACTCGAAATCGATTGATAGACGAAGGCGGAGTCAATGATAAGCTGACCCGCCTGTCCTGTTAATCCCGCCTCGATTGGTTTGCCGTTATCAATCCTCGCTGGCATTGATAATCGCTAAATTTCTAGCGTTCGTTTCGTACACTGATAGAGAAATTAAATTATAGGTAGATAAGATAAGATTAGATCAGACAGATTAACTTCTTAAACTACCTAGGCAGTGGCCCCATGAGAATTAGCCGCAACGAGGCGGTGATGGGTTTCGGAGAACTCATCCAGAATCTGCGAAACTCGTCCAGATGCGTCCGATCGAACAGGGTCTTATTCTATGTTCTTGCGGCGCTTTTGTTTACTTTTTTGATTAATGCTTTACTTGCCACATGTTCTAACAATTCTGAGCCCTACAACCTGCCAAAGTCGATCGCGGGCGCTGTCTTTAAGGGCAAAGACCACGTGTTTAATTTCTTTTTTTCTGGAATGCGGCACGCAAGGCTCAAAAAACATTACTGCCACAAATTGAGCATCTTATACCACAAAGCGGTGTAGTGACAAGCGGCGCCGTTCACAAGGTGTGTGCTCGGATCGTCAAATGCCGGACAGGCTTCCACCCTGGCCAACAATGTGTTAGACTGGCACTGTGCTCATATTTTGCGTTAGAGTTCTGAGCGCAACTAGGAAAGTATGGATGTCGATCCAGCGTCTCAAGCGCACGCCAGCTTTTCAGCGATTGCCCGCCAAAGGCTCAGAACTGCCCGAGGAAATGCTCAAAAGTTAGATCGATGTCTATACTTTCCTAGTCGCTCACAATGCTGCTGTACGCGGGCGCACGCTCAAAACGCTGACACAAAGTATAAACGGAGCCTACTCAGGAAGATAAAAGCGGCCGAGTCTATTGTTCTGTAAGTCCTCTGCAACTCAACCTGAAGCAAGAAAAGGTACTCACCGCTGTGATTGCTTCGGGAGGATTTTCACCACTCACTTCGACAGGGATGCTTTCGTAATTGTCAAAATTGATTCCACTATTCATATTATTGAAAAGTTGCCTTAAAACCAGTGTGAAAAGTGTCGAATTTAAAAATGAAATTTTGGTAACATTCCTTTCCAATAGTGGACTTACTTTTCTACAGAATCGGTGCCGGCCGTCTGGCTGTTCCAGTTCCCAACGAAATCACCACTAAACACTAAGCAATTATATCGCTAATACTAATCATCTACAAAATAATCACAAACGGACCAGTTCTTATCCTTTGGATCGAATGTGCCCCCGAAACCCTTCGTCACGTAACCTGCTGTGACACCATTACTATAATCGGAGGTCATGCCATTCAATCCACAAGATGGTTGCGTGTACCCATTTTGAGAGTACACATTCTGTTGCTGAGGCTGATAGCCATTCTGGTAGCTGAAACTGGTATCAATATGAATCTCATCATCATCTCTCATGAAAACGCGAACATATACATACAAAACTCCACATAACTATTCGATTTTCACAGGTAGTCCCGCGCTCAAATAACTCGTAAGTATCCTTTCTTGTATGAGTACTCGGCTCCTCGGTCTTTGCATTTATCCCACTTTCAGCGACTTCACAATAAGTAGGCAGCGTCATACTTCGCGACAGCAGCGCTTCGGGAGCGTTCAACGCGATCGATGCGCATGCTTTCGACTGCATCGATCGCGTCGAACGCGCGACCGAAGCGCTGCCGTCGCGAAGTCTGAACGCTGCCTAACGAAGGCGTGGGGCCTTCGCGGGTTTCGTTTCTGACGCATCCCTCGTGCCCCGCCCACCGAAATCAAAGGCAACTTTTGGCAGGAGTTCAGTTTTTACACCGCGTTTTTTTTTGACTGCTAGATGGTATTAGCACTGGATGATGCGAAGACAAATCTGTTCCATATAATGAAGGTCACTTTCTCCTCCCTGAAACCATTCTTTGAAGTATCATGAAGCTGAGCAAATTTTAACAGGGTAATAATCGCTTTGAAAAATGTGTTACATTATACCATCCAGGGGATAACAATCCTACTTCTGAACGTGAAATAACGAACTGACGGAATAACTTGTATTCTAAAAAGCGCAAAAGGTCCCAAAGACCCGAATAGCTTTTCGGATTATCTAACCTGAATAGCTTTTCGGATTTTTATGTCATATTTCTTACGCGGCGCGTTTTTCACGTCTGGATAAGTTTTCGAAGCCACGCTCCTAACCTTCTCCAGAAACCGAATCTGGTGCATGTTTCTCCACTTTACTTATACGGACTCCTCTTCTCCTAAACGTGAGCAGCATTTCATTTTTTGTCTTCCTCGGCCGACTCGAAAATCGGTGGAGACGGCAGTCTCGGACTTCGCTCAGCCGCATTTGCAGCTGTTTTATGTGATTGACAAGCGCATCCCAAGACTTCAGGTCTTCCTACAATTAGTCGTGCAAGTGTCTATTTGGCCATTTTCAGCCAGAAAAGATTTGTTTCTCCATTAGACTTCGAATAGACTGAAACATTACGCTGGCGAAAACTGACTCAGTCAAGAGCTTCGTCAAGAGTCGAGAACAAATGAAGCGAGACACATTTCATGGTCATCCCATTTATCATAAAGAGGGTTGCAAAAGACATTTCTGTAGGCCATCAATTTAGCTAGTTCAACTCAGGATTTTTCCCCTAGCAGAGGAGATTTCCTATTAAATCCCGTTTACTTAATTAAACGCTCTGGCGCAAGTTTAGCTTGGACGGTCATTTTGCTATGCCCTGCAAAACTATGAAATGTTGTGAGTTTCACATGGTGTTATATTTCAGGCGCAAAGGAGTTGGCTGACCCATACTCCGCCTTTAACGTTCTAATAAAAACTCCGCGATTGAGTATTGTGGATAGCGGCTTAAATTTCACACCTGTAGTCGCTAAGTGACTCTCCATGAAAGAAGAACAAGAATGTGGAGGGAGTACATCCTAAAAACGTGGCAGCCTCTCTGGACAAGTTCTCCGGAGCTGTCATGAGCGATGTCCTGCCACCCTGGCTCACAAATCGTCTCTTCTCGTCATCCAGTGCCAAACACTATCTAACAGTAAAAAACGAAAAAAAAACTGTGTAAAAACTCAAACGAGGTAGAGAATAGCCTTTAAATTTCGATGGGCGTCGCAACTAGGGAGGCGTCAAAATGCCACTTAGGAGAGCCTCAGTGGCTTCTTTACCTATTGTGAAGCCACGAAAAAGAGCGACCATAGAGGTGCGAATCAAACCACATGAACAAGGAAGGACGCTTACGAAATGGTTGAGGTCGTCTTCATGCAAAGAAAACTCCAAGTTGTTGACCGCAATAGTTTCGCAGGTTACACCACCAACTGCACCATCACATAGGAAAAAAAATCTCAGAAATAGCAGGAACATCAATTTCGTGCCATTTCGTACCTTTCCACGGCCTCACAGCATTGCACCAAAGCGATCTGATAGCCTGTTCGCTGCGGATGATATGGTGTGTCAGCACAAGTGACAAGACTATCGTATCGCCCGCATCAGCATCTTCCACCAGTTGCTGTCATTTGCCCGCTTCAACAACTGGTGGAGAATGGATGTGACGCCGCGCCAAACGCAGCGCTGCGGACACGCCCCATCATATACAGCGAAGCAGACTGTGTTTAGAGTTTCACAAAGTGGCCCAATATATTGTTCAGTTCAAGCAGCAAACTATGAAAACTCGTTTTGGTGCTCGATATTCTCTGTTTACATTTCACGGGTAGCTATTGCTACCGATAAGTTAGTGATTGGTAACCAGTAAGCAGGGATCAAGACCCTAACTTGAGCTACTTTTCCCATTGAGACAATGGGTACTGCTATTCCAAAATTTAACTTGATATTATTGAAATGTACAAAATACTGGGAATCAAGGAAATTTTCTGGAAATATGGCTTTAGGACTTAGGGTGCACTGCGTTTATACTTTGCGGCAGTTTTTGAGCGAATGAGAGTGCATTCATCGATCCAGCGTCTTATACGTCCAACAGCGTCATCAGCGTCCTCTAGCGTTCTGAGCCTTCCGAGCAACTAAGAAAGGATAGGTGTCGACTATCGCTCAACGCTGGTGGACGCTCAAAACGCTGATGCCGCACTAATACCTGACAACTTTGAAGAAATAACGAAACTGCGGATAGAGGGCAGTATATGTATCGAATTGAAAATCCACGAAATCGGGGAAATGTGGCGGACAACCACCTGATAGAGATTGGTCCCTCAACTCCCCAAAGGGAGATATGCCGATCCTGCGCGATTTCGACATTTCTGCATATTCCGCATTTCTCGCGATCCCATGGTTTCCCAAGTCGATATCTAAACTTCCTTCTATCCGCAGTTTCATCACCTCCTTCAAATCGATATTTATACTTCCTTTCTTCTGCAGACTCCGCACTTCTCCCGACTCCGCGGTTTTTCAAAATTATAGATACACTTTCTTTTATCTGCAGTTTCGTCATTTCTTCAAACTCGTCATGTATGAGCGCGGCCAGAAAATTCAAGCGCTCAGTGCGCTAGGAGGATAGCTATGCTTCCTAGTCGCTCAAAGCGCTGCTGCGAAGTATGAACGCGTTCTTAAATATGGACAAATGTTTTGTGCTCGGATGCATAAAGCAACACTTCATCGATGTGTTAGGCCGCGGTCATAGCTTGCCACCGTGAAGAAATGCAGAAACGCGAACTGAAGAATCTCAGCGGAATCTGCAGAAATGACAAAAGCAGATACGTATTGATTTGAGAATTCCTGCAGATTCCGCATTTCTTCATTTCCGCGTTTCTGCATTTATTCAAGGTCGCTAGCTACGAAGGCGGCTGTAAAAGGAGCAAGTCGGCTAAAAGGGAAAAGACATGTTAGTCCCTGTCAAAGTACGGGCTATTTTGTAAAGCCGTGCGAACTCTTGTAAGGAACCCGAGTTCGTCTAGCGACACAAAATATGTAGAAAAATGAGGGCTGGTGGGACACTTCGAAGAGCATAGCATCGGAGTAAAAAACCTAGAGAAATGCCACCCCCCTCCACAACAATGATCCCCGCTCTCCTCTTTCCTCTACTTTTAAGCAAAAATCCTCATCAATGACCCACAATCGTTTCCGCAGTAATCGTCGTCCAACATTTGTGAAAAAACAATGAGAAATGACGTGGTACTGGAGCTCATACTATTTCATAGCTTCACAAGAGCTTATGGGTTTTAACAAAAAGGACTGCACTCGAAATCAATCAACAACGCCCCTTTGCTTCTCCTTTAGCCGACTTGCACCATTCAAAGCACTGTAAGCATAGGACAAGTGGTCAGTACCTCGGAGGTGGGCCACCGTTTGAAGCGAAGGTCATTGTTTGACCATATCCTGGTGGTGGGATTGTATAACCGTTCACGGCCTGACTACCATAATCGTATCCATTCGTGGCGGTCGCGCCTCCGCCACTATTGCCGAAACCAGTGTAACCACCTCGGACTCCCACCGGAGGCACGTCGGCCCATTGTCTGAAAATATATGGAAATGAATATGTTGTGTTGCTAAGTGACTGAAGGTAGAAACTAGAAGAGAACCAGTACGAGCAAATAAGTCATCGTTGCCAAGGCGCATAAAAAATCGATAAGGATGTTGATGGGAAGACTGGGAAACGGGACTCACCCTGAGGTCTGTGTATTGTAGAAGGCCTGCTGGGCTGTGGTCGAGTTCATCACGCAACACACCTCGTTCGATTTCCCGAAGAACTTCTACCGTCACCAACCACAAAGACGACGACCAACAAGCACCAGCGCGCGATGCGAATAAAAATAGCGGAGTGGAAAACCGCGCCGCGTCTGCTATACACCCAACGACACGCCAAACTACAGACTTTTTTCGTGTCTGTGCCTTCATCGCCAAGCACGACGTCTACGTTCCGTTAATTGCTGACCGGTTCCGGAGTTTTACACCGGGCTTTTTGCAATGATTATCATTCCGACAGGGACGTTTTCGCTTACCCGTGGTTTTGGCGGAACCGTATGAGCTCTCATTGTCGAGCAGGACGTTAGGAATGCTCATATTGGGAAACTGACTTGTGCTTAGAACGATGGACACATTTAGACATTACTTCCTCAGAAAACAAAATATTTTTCGATGAAACTTGGCCCTGACAGTAATGCGATGTACTGATCACGAGTACGACATTAGTTTTTGACGCTGGCGCCATCGCCACTTCTCTCACCAAAATCAGTTCAAACATGCCTACCGGATTCATTCGTAACCTCATCACGAACATGACATTCATTTTTAGCCCTGGCGCCATTATCTGCCAATTTGGTGCCACACCTTTTTTCATCGGGATCGATAAGTACTTGCATATTAGGGTTGTTCGATGCCCTGATCGCTAATATGACATTCATTATTTGATTGAGCCCTCTGCTAATGCTGAGCCTGAGAGGAGGGGTGATTACCTCGAGCCAAGCTCAAGGTAATCACTCCTCCTCCCAGGCTCTTTCCGGCCAAGCAGATGTGGT